ATTACATGTTAATAACTTGATTGGAATTATAACCTTGAATTGACAGTTTGATACTTTGAAAATTTTGAGCCAGCCCTACCCCCAAGGGCTGTAGGGTGGGGCTCAAAGGAGTCAGTGTGCTAAAATTTCTTCATTTTCCTTGTTAAGAATCAGAGGTGCTAGTTTCAAATCCTTTTTAGTCTGAAATCTGTATGCTAGATATTGAGTAAGGTGGTTTTATTGTTTTTTGTCACTTTGAATAATATTTCTGTTCATGTTAAAAACAAAATCAACTCTCTGTATAAATATATCAGGTGACCGTTAAGGCCCATGGACCTCTTGTTTATTGTTGTTGGCCACACTGGTTAGTTTATAGTGGTGGGTCACACTGGGTTAACTTTAAAAGATTGGATCTAACTTGTAAGTTTATAATGGTGGGCATCCCTTGTAAGTTTATAGCGGCAGGTCGCAGTGCTAAATGATATAGTGGTGGGCATCACTGGTAAGCAAAATTTATAGCAGCAGATTTACACCATAGTGGTAATTAAGTTTATAGTGGTGTACCATACTTATATTATTTTATAGCAGTGGACAACACTATTATTATAGCAGTTGCTTACACAGGTAAGGTTTTACAGGTTGGCCTTACTCTGATAAGTTTTTTGCTATGGGCTAAAAGTCACTGGTTTTAGTTAATATACCACACTGGTATATTGCTTACGTTATAGTGGACATACAGTTCATAGCAGTGGAAATTAAGAGATTGGGTAATTAGCAACAGTCTCTTGTTATCTGGTGGTAAAATACTCTACCACTCTGTCACTTTGTAATTTATATACATGTTAACCAGTTTTACTAAGCTTCAGAAATTCAAATTTTATTGTAATGATTTAAACAGGTAGCATTAGAAGTTGCTGATAAGTTAAACACCATATACACCAGGTGTTTGGTTACACTACCAGGTGTGTAGCATATTATACATCAAGGTCGACTTAAATGTACGAATGTGTATCACTGTTGTACATGAGATAAGCCCATTATACACTGGGAACATTAATATAACAGTGTTATAAAGTAGGAAGTAAAACAATTAATTAGAGATTATTCCTGTGTTTTGCTATTAGAAATCATATACTTAAGGAAGTACTTATTAGCTGTCGTATTACACTCGCCTGAGGAATGCAGTCGTGGTGAACAAGTGAAGGGGGTGCTCATCTTTCCTCTTTGTACTTTTTGGCTCATACATGCAATGTGCTTGGGTTAGCCCATTTGCATCCGCCTCAAGTTCTGGGAGAGAATATATGTGCTGTATCCTGTTCATGTTATCAAAAGAGGCCACAAATTGTGGGTCTTCTGCAGAATCATGGAATTACATAATTTTTATGCTATGCTAAATCTGCGTCGGATCTATAAGTGAGTCTGCAACCACTGCGCCACTTTGGACCTCTGTGATCTCTTCTAAGGTACAATGTACCTCACTTCCTTCTTGACAGGGTCGTCTTTAAGGTACCTATCTTCATTTTGACCATTGTGTTATTGCAAGGGTGGTAAACCCTGAACAAAACAAACTAAACTATTTGCTTATTACATGCGTATGAGCTTGTGATTGCAGGTAAAATATATTAATATAAGGGTACATATACAATGTACTACCTTACATTAACCTAAGCATCGTTCAGAAAAAGTTACACTTTAAGTGTAAACTATGTATCAATTTTCAATCTGGACTTATTTAAATAATTGATGGTAATTTGAAAGATGGATAAATCAGGGGTTTATCAGGGTACTTTTTAGGTCTGTTTAACTCATTCACCCCTGAAGACACATTTGAAATCTTCCAATTCAAAGGTTAAAATAGTTCATTATGAAATTTCAGGGGTGTAAGAGTTAAACGACACATTCCCAATTGAAAAAGTGTCTGATTATTCCGTATCTACCCCTTTAAAATTCCAAATGTAAAGAAATAAATGCATATATTTAAATAAATTCCTAACCAGTGACTAAGTTCTCAAAATGCAGCATACATGTATGTCTAACTTTAGACAGAATGATCATGTCATAAAGATAGGCTTAGATAAAAGTTAAACAATCTAATTTCATGTATTCNTATAAAGACATACACACACTCATTCATTATCATACAAACATCCATACAATTATCAAAAAGGAAAGGTAGGATTGTTGAAAATTTGTATTACATTTTGAATTTCTAAGCTAGCTGTCAGTGTGAGCGTAATCAATATTTACATTTACTCAATACAACAAATATATTTATAAATTGATAAGTTACTTATGGTAAATCAGTCGTAATTTCAAGTTTGGGTGTTTCAAAAAAAGTTTTGCCATTTGGCCCATTCTCTTTGAAACTGGTCTAAGTAGCTTTCTCCCTTACTTCTAGCAATGTATTTTTGAGTTGTATATGTATCTTTTAGTGTATTTTTCAGGGCAATAATGCAGAGTTCGTTCCTGAGGCACCTTGCATTGTAGATATATTGTTTTATTGTAAAGATGATCATATTATCCACTTTTCTGTTTATTCCATTCTGACGATATGTACCAAAAAGAAAAGATTTCTTATTAAATTCAAACAGTGAATTCAACAAATTTTCTAAGTTAACAAGTAAAATTTGAACTTTTTCACAGTTCCATAGCGTATGCTCTATCGTTTCAGAGTTGGTGAAATGATTATCAAGATTTCCAAAACCGACTCTTTTATCGATGATGTTTCCAAATTTCGTCCCAGGTTTTTTTTCCCTACACCCCCTGATATGTGAATATATCATAATATGTAAAATACACATCCTCAAAATTCCAGAGGTTACACTCTCTTTCATTCTCTACCACCCTGGACGATAACATACAAGATGGTATACAACATGACAATAATTCTAGGGGTGAGAACACACCTATAAGCTGATAACCCCTGGAATTTCGAAGATGACACGTGCCATGATCATACTTTTCATAATTAATCGTTAGTGTTAGTTAATATGTTCAGGGGAGATAACTCTTATACAAATCACTGGTGCAACTGTATTGTGAAAAGATTCATATAGCACAAGCAATAAGTGTTTATATGTGACTTATAGATTACTAGTCAGTATGTACTCTTTCACTTCATCAGACAAATGACCAGTGAAGTGTATATGTACACAAAGATGTAAAATATGTACGAGTTGTCAAAGCAAATATATATTGATTTAATTTGGATACACTGTGCAACTGTATGATGCTAAGTTGCAATGTTACCCTAAAGTTTCTGATTTTTATGTTATACAGGTAGATATGGCACATGAACCTAAACGCTATGAGAAGATTGTCCCAAAGTTTACAGAGCTAAATGACTTAGCAGTTGAAAAGGTATACTTGATATTTTACTATATGTTTTATTTTGTACTGTCAAAGTTTTTTCAGTGCCTGGTTTTGCTATTCTATTTTATGGTGTTTGATACAATCTCTTTATTTGACACTTTTTTTCGCCTTGTTTAAGGTGAAAGATCAATGTATACTTTGGGGTCAAATTCCAAATAATTCTTTTTGCTTGTCTGGAAAAACCCCACCACCAAACTACTTAATTGAAATTGTATAATAAAACTTGGTACTGTATTTGAATCAAAACTAGATGTAATAAGCATAATGCAGCAAATTGAAAACAAATTTTGTGACACTTCTGTTATGATAAAGGGCATCTGAAGTTAGAATAAAGGTTAAAGTCTTATTCGATAAATAAAAAATAATTCCATTTTAGGTGATTATATATATACATACAATATATTTCATACAACGTATGTAGCATGCTAATTTGTATGCTGTGTTGGCTATACAACTGAGGGGAAACAGTGTCATATTTTCAGGTTAAGGTTTTTAAATGACATAATATCACACAGAAGTGGGTATGTTTTCATGTATTATAGGTAAATATAGGTGATATATGACCTGTGCCGTTGGCCCAATCCCAATACATTTACCAGTTCATTCACAAGCATTGCTAATTGCCATCACTTACATGTACATGTATATCATCATTTTGACCTTTATGATGTAGGCTTCAGCTAGCTAATGTTGGCTGTCACATGTACTGACGTTGTTATACAACCATATCATACTGTACTATCAGACTTTTGATTTCAGTAATTCACAAAATAGGATATTGTTAAAAGAGTTAACTGTTTATTTTACTGTTTATTTCAGGTTGGTGGGAAAATATCATTTGCCACTGATGACTATTTTGGAGTTGCAGACAATTTGATAAAGGTAGGACATTGCCTGCTAGCATGGTCACACAGAACAGGGTACATTAATGGTGCCTTGATGATCCAGCCATCCTCATTCCCAGCTTAAATGATTAAAATTTGAATGTTCTGTTAGCCAGGATAGATTGAGTAAAAAATGGTCAATACACCCCCTATATCAGGAGCTGTACATATATAGCTGTCATTTTGTAACCTAGCTACCAATTCACTTACTACTGAAGAAATAATATGGCAGTCACTTCTAATTTTGTCCCCTGTCTATCTACTTACTAGACAGGCTGTATAGCTATTATTTTCCCCCTTTCCACTTACTAATTAAGTAAGAGGTAGCTAAAGGATGTTTTCAGTCTATCCTATATACTTGTCAAGGCAATAATTTCTTAATGACTGAATGTAACTATTCTTAATAGGATTGCAGTCAAATTACTTTACATGCATTAAGCACTCATGTACATTCTGATTGTCCTTAAATTATCTGTAGTCCTTTCTAGAATTATAGGATTATTTTCATAACAATCAATAAATATATATATTGTTTAATTCATTTTGACAATCATTCAAGCTTGAACTTCTTACTGTTCTCAAGGTTTAAATAAAAATGTATATGAACTAAATGGAATAACTAAAAGCAAGTCTTGACTAGTTATTATGTGTATAACACATGTACATATATCATTACCCAACAGAGTGAAGTTTACCACACTTGTAAATCTATTTCAAGGTCAAGGTCACCGCAACAGACAAAGGTCAATTTCTTCTATAGCTTGTCTTTAAACAGCGTCTTTTAAATGGCGAAATTTCTTTATTTTAAGAAATCTTCATAGGCCTGTGTATCGTAAGACAATAAATGTCGGAGGAAGTAAAACATGTTGTTTTTACACACTGTATAAGTTATGTATGTTTTGTTTCAGTCTACAGATCCCCTGTTTAAGGAAGGACTGTTCACAGAGTTTGGAAAATGGATGGATGGCTGGGAGACGAGGAGGAAAAGGGTGGCGGGACATGACTGGTGTATCATACAGCTAGGTGAGTTACAGCTGTGTGACTGTACACAGTATCATACAGCTAGGGGAGTTACAGCTGTGTGACTGTACACAGCATCATGCAGCTAGGTGAGTTACAGCTGTGTGACTGTACACGGTATCATACAGCTAGGTAAGTTACAGCTGTGTGACTGTACACGGTATCATACAGCTAGGTGAGTTACAGCTGTGTGACTGTACACAGTATCATACAGCTAGGTGAGTTACAGCTGTGTCACTGTACACAGTATCATGCAGCTAGGTGAGTTACAGCTGTGTGACTGTACACGGTATCATACACAGGTGTTCCTGTATGTATCCATGGTGACGATTTTGCAGTGTCCTTTACTTAGGTTTTGTGTATGAAAACGGTGATGATGATTCTGTGTCTTACTGTTAGATATTCTTCGTTTATAATCCTTGGGGACATACCAAAATTCTTTAAAAAATAAGTAGTTGTTATTCCTATTTAAATGTGTAGCATTCAAGGTGATCCCAACAACAGGTCAAACTGTTGTCAGTATAATGGGATCAGTGGAATACTGTGCTGGGTGCCTTCGGCATGATATTTCAATGAGGTAGCACTCAGATGACCTTATCTATGTTTTACTGTCAGGTGTTGCTGGCTGTATCTATGGGGTTGATGTTGATACATCCTACTTCACAGGGAACTACACTCCTCAGATCTCCATACAGGGTGCTAATCTGGACAGAGGTGAGTCAACAAACAGATGGATATTATTTCTTTTCTGTAAAATAAGTCTAGCATTTTTTTCCATTTACCAGAATTTTTAAGATATTTTTTCATGCTATAATATAGTACATTAAGGTAATATAATGGTCAGGTGATGCATTGGACAGTGCTCTCAGCTTTCACCAATGTGGTCGTGGTTTGATTCCTCAATCAGTTGTGAAAGATATTAGGTCACCTCCGACAAATTAGGTCACCCCCGACATATTAGGTCACCTTCGACATATTAGGTCACCTCCGACATATTAGGTCATCTCCGACATATTAGGTTATGCACCCCTGACATATTAGGTCACCTCCGACATATTAGGTCACCTCCGACATATTAGGTCACCCCCGACATACTAGGTCACCTCCGACATATTAGATCACCCCCGACATATTAGGTCATCTCCGCCATATTAGGTCACCTCCGACATATTAGGTCTCCTCTGACAAATCACCTGCTTTGATTCAGTACTCCATTTTTCTCCCACATTGAGACTCCCTGTGCACTTCTACCCAAGTAAGAGTGATTAATATACAATGTAGTATGAAGAAACCTGTTTCAAAATTGTTGTATGATAAATACAGTTTATTTAAAGGTAAATAAAATTCAACCTTATTAATGACCTTGTTTACAAGACTTTTGACTAAATATTGCATCACCAAATGCCATTGTTTGGTTATCATGTTATCTTGATGCACTGTTTTTCCTGCTATATAATCTATGTACATGTACCATGATTTTTAGAGCTGATGGAGCCAAACATCACATACCAATGCTAGTCCTCTTAAGTTATAACGTTCTCCTAGAGGCTTTGGACGTTCATGATAATGCCTTTTTATCTGCAGCTCGAAAAAAACCAGAACTGATTTAATGCTTACATTACAGAGAGTTTATATATGATGTATATATATAATACCATGGACTTATAGGCAATCTAATTCTGTGATAATGCACTCTGTGACCTTTACCATTAAACCACCATTACAGACTGTTCCTTTCCATGTTATCAGCATTCATACTAGTTTTTCCTTACAACGAAATCAAGTATCATTTATATAATCCTACGCTTTGTTTCAGATCTTCCTGATAGACTCAGTGACATGGGAACTGAAGCTACTGTGCAAGAAATCACAGAAATTACTAAACTTCACTCCGAGGTAACTGTTAATCACTCGCTTGGTGATCTTAGTCAGGGGTAGGGATTTATAACATCTATACACCACATTGATGCTAAACCAATAATTGATAAAGTCATTATTGCTGAAGTTAATCATGTACATTGCAAAGAAATTGTATTTTAACTATGGAAATTGACCACTTTGTGTCATGCATATCAAGGGAGGGAACTCCTGCATCTTTCTGTCAAGATTGAAATCTGCTTGTTATGTAAGAGTTACCTCCCATCGTTCTGATTTGTGAACATGTTTGGAGGGATGCGGAATTAATTAAAAGTTTTTACAGCACAAGAAATATTATAATGTACAAAGAAGTGAAATTGGCTTATGTTTGGGTTACTAGTGTAAAATACTGTAAAATTTTCAAACATCTTCTTGTATCAATGTCCTTTGGTGTGATTGTATGTGTGTTGCTTTTACAGGATTGGGAAGAAGTTTTAAGCAAAACGCCACTACGCCCAGGCTATCTGACATCCTGTCATAATTACTTTGAAATTCACAATAAGTCACGACATACCCATCTAAGAGTCAATATGTTTCCAGGTAATGTAATATCATTATTTCAATTTGTCATATTATACTTTCAGATTATATCATTAATTTCTCACCTGCTTTCTAAGGCCTTCTGAACCTTTGGTTCATGTGATGTATTGCTATCCATTTTTTTCTAACACCATCCATTGTCTATTAAGTTATAAACAATTTACATTATCAATTTTTTTTTCAATTAAATGACCTCAACTTTCAGTAAAGTGTTGGATCATCACACTTAATACACAATTGTCTATTTTGAGGTTAAGGCATTTATATCGAGTGTAAGCAATGTGCTTGACCATATTGTCATATTTTACAGACCAAAAACAGCTTAAATGGACTTAGTTAAATTTGTTTGGGATGTGTAATGTTAGATCACTGCCATCAATAGGCTGTTGTCTATTATAAGGTTGGAGTATATATTTGGAGCGTAAACAATGTTCTAAATTATGTTTTCAGTATTTTAGGGGCCAAAACTGGTTAGTTGAACTGGGTTAAAGTTTTTTTGTGCAGTGTTGTATCGGTCACCACCATTAATACGCATTTAACTATTTCATGTTGGCAGGTCATCTCTTCTAACATGTTAAGGTACAACAAAACCTTGTTATATTGCCATCATTTGTTCAAAAAAATAAAGGGGTTTGGCAATAAATTGAGGGAAACGTATAAGAAATTATTAAGAAAAACATAATTAAGGGAACTGAAAATATGTTGGTGGTAAGTGAGGTGGCAAATGAAATGACGGGCATTATATCAAGGTTTTACTGTACAACTGTTTCTATTGATATTTGCTATCTTACAACATATATCACAGATAGGCAAGCTATGCTGTTCTCCAACAGCTCTTGTTTTCTTGTAGCGGTTATGAACGAAAAATAGCTAAAATATAGAATTTGATTATGATGAGTATGATGTATTTTGCAATAGCATTGTGTTGTAATATGCTTAAAAATCCATTTTGAGTGATTGTAAGAAGTACCAGGATGTTTCTATGTACATAGATCTTGTATCCATGTAATGACTCTATTGTTGGGAGTCTTCATATGTTTTGTCAGAAATTTAAACTTCCCCTAAAGAATAAGAACCTTCTACTATTGGTTGTTATTTCAGGAATAGGTATTAGTGTAACTTATTAGGTATATGTCTGTAAACACCAATAAGTGAGTTCCTTCTGTCTAGAAAACATTACATCATTGGTAATTACATGGACAAGTCTTAATTCTAAAGATTGTTCAGTGTTAAAGGAAGTTTGTTATTCTGATTTGGGTAAAAAAAAAACTCTTGCGCTGAAAATCTCCCTAACACCACAGACTTTTGATTTTGTGATTTGAAGTCATCACGTGACAATGAGGGCATAGAGTCAGTACACAAAAACAATCTGATGTTACCTGTTACTTAACTAAATAAACAGTGAATAGTTTTATAGACGAAATTTGTTCAGCTGCAATATACTGAAAAAGTGGAAATATTTGCATGTGGAAATAATCGTGTTGTGATCAATTAACCCTTTCACCACTGTGGACCATAATGGACTCATCAAGATAAGCGTATTGTAGAGTCTACTAAAGTTATGTCGGGGTGGAAGGGTTCTATTGATCAATAATCTTTATAATCTATAAATGAATATTACCTTGTGGATATTTTTGCACTTATTTGCTCAATGCAAAAACCACCAACATTTACACACCACAACAATTTCCACTTTTACAGTATACTATATAACAGTTGTTATATCATTTGAAGTGCAAAACATTTTTTTGTATGGTTTTAACACTTTTATTTTATACTTCTATATTTTAAGAGTTCAGAACTCCTTTGACACTGCCCGTATAGCTACAATGCTGGAAATCTCTCATGCAGAGTTAAATATTGCTTAAAATCAGTGGGAGTTACTGTTCCAGAACAAGCTTAATGATTGTGTTTTTCAAAAAATGTGAATTGATTGATGAGAGCTGTGGTATTGCAGACTTTTTCTAATAATCATATTGTTACACATTGTATACTTTTACACAAATTCACACCAGCAGTCCTATTTCAGATGGAGGTATAGCCAGATTGCGGGTATATGGACGTGCAAAGAGGGACTGGAGTACTGTGCCCCTGAATGAAGTATGTACATATGACACAGACTGTAGTATCACCTGTATTTCTCATCCTTTTAGGAATCTGCAGTATCACCTGTATTTCTCATTCTTTAAGAGATCTATAGTATCACTTGTATTTCTCATCTTTTTAGGGATCTATAGTATCACCTGTATTTCTCATCCTTTTAGGGATCTTTCGTATCACCTGTATTTCTCATCCTTTTAGGAATCTATAGTATCACCTGTATTTCTCATCTTTTTAGGGATCTATAGAATCACCTGTATTTTTCATCTTTTTAGGGATCTATAGTATCACCTGTATTTCTCATCCTTTTAGGGATCTATAGTATCACCTGTATTTCTCATTCTTTAAGGGATCTATAGTATCACCTGTATTTCTCATCCTTTTAGGGATCTATAGTATCACCTGTAATTCTCATCCTTTTAGGGATCTATAGTATCACCTGTATTTCTCATCCTTTTAGGAATCTATAGTATCATCTGTATTTCTCATCCTTTTATGAATCTATAGTATCACCTGTATTTCTCATCCTTTTGGGGATCTATAGTATCACCTGTATTTCTCATCCTTTTAGGAATCTATAGTATCACCTGTATTTCTCATCCTTTTAGGAATCTATAGTATCACCTGTATTTCTCATCCTATTAGGAATCTTAGTATCACCTGTATTTTTCATCCTTTTAGGGATCTATAGTATCATCTGTATTTCTCATCTTTTTAAGGATCTATAGTATCACCTGTATTTCTCATCCTTTTAGGGATCTATAGTATCACCTGTATTTCTCATCCATTTCGGGATCTATAGTATCACCTGTATTTCTCATCCATTTCGGGATCTATAATAACACCTGTATTTCTCATCCTTTTAGGGATCTTGAGTATCACCTGTATTTCTCATCCTTTTAGGGATCTATAGTATCATCTGTATTTCTCATCCTTTTAGGGATCTATAGTATCACCTGTATTTCCCATCCAGTTAGGAATCTATAGTATCACTTGTATTTCTCATCCTTTTAGGGATCTATAGTATCACCTGTATTTCTCATCCTTTTAGGGATCTATAGATTCACCTGTATTTCTCATCCTTTTAGGGATCTAGAGTATCACCTGTATTTCTCATCCTTTTAGGGATCTATATTATCACCTGTATTTCTCATCCTTATAGGGATCTAGAGTGTCACCTGTATTTCCCATCCTTTTAGGGATCTATAGTATCATCTGTGTTTCTCATCCTTTTAGGGATCTAGAGTATCACCTGTATTTCTCCTCCTTTTAGGGATCTATAGTATCCCCTGTATTTCTCATCCTTTTAGGGATCTATAGTATCATCTGTATTTCTCAACCTTTTAGGGATCTATATTATCACCTGTATTTCTCATCCTTTTAGGGATCTAAAGTATCACCTGTATTTCTCATCCTTTTAGGGATCTGTAGTATCACCTGTATTTCTCATCCTTTTAGGGATCTGTAGTATCATCTGTATTTCTCAACCTTTTAGGGATATATATTATCACCTGTATTTCTCATCCTTTTAGGGATCTATAGTATCACCTGTATTTCTCATCCTTTTAGGGATCTAGAGTATCACCTGTATTTCTCATCCTTTTAGGGATCTAGTATAACCTGTATTTCTCATCTTTTTAGGGATCTAAAGTATCACCTGTATTTCTCATCTTTTTGGTGGAAGAATTAGGGAGGAGGGATTGTAACATTCAACCAATACACATAGAACTATACCAACATAGAGTACCAGGTCACATACACACACCACACAAGGTACCACCACAAACTTAGATAGCTAATCTAATTCCCTGGCACCACTATCAAACACCATACAACCATTACACAATTAGGTACCATACACAGTCACCTACATCACATGCTACACACAGTACCACCATTTCACGCTTAACCACGATCACACAGTACCACCATCAAACTGGGTTCAATAAACACACACAAATAACATATACTACACTGTACCACTATTACACAAACTTCCATATAACTCTGCCATTATCATATACCACACACAGTGCCACAATATATAAAACACTGCACCACCATTAAACACAGAACCATACACACACCACCGTTACACACAGTACCATACACACAGCCATGTTACACACCGTACCATACACAAACCACCATTACACACAGTACCATAGTGCAAACACTGCCCTGTTACACACAGTACCATACACACACAACGGTAACACACAGTACCATACACACACCATCATTACACACAGTACCATACACACACAACTGTTACACACAGTTGCATACACACACAACTGTTATACACAGTACCATACACACACCATCATTACACACAGTACTATACACACAGTACCATACACACACCACCATTACACACAGTACCACATAGCGCATACACACAGCCCTGTTACACACAGTACCATACACACACAACTGTTATACAAAGTACCATACACACACTACCATTAAACACAGTACCATATACACACCACCATTACACACAGTACCATACACACACCATCATTACACACAGTACCATACACACACAACCATTACACACAGTACCATACACACACCACCATTACATACAGTACCATACACACACCAACGTTACACACAGTACCATACACACAGTACCATACACACATCACCATTACATACAGTACCATACACACACCACCGTTACACACAGTACCATACACACACCACCATTACATACAGTACCATACACACACCACCGTTACATACACCACCGTTACACATAATACCATATACACACCACCATCACACACAGTATCATACACACACCACCATTACACACAGTACCATACACACACCACCGTTACACACAGTACCATACACACACAACCATTACACACAGTACCATACACACACCACCATTACATACAGTATCATACACACCATCATTGCACACAGTACCATACAGAACCGTACACACACACCCTTTACACACAGTACCATACACACACACCACCATTACACACAGTACCACATAGCGCATACACACAGCCCTGTTACACACAGTACCATACACACACAACTGTTATACAAAGTACCATACACACACCACCATTAAACACAGTACCATACACACACCACCATTACACACAGTACCATACACACACCACCGTTACACATAATACCATATACACACCACCATTACACACAGTACCGTTACACATAATACCATACACACACCACCATTCCACACAGTACCATACACACACAACCGTTACACACACCACCATTACATACAATACCATGCATCCACACACCACCATTACATACACAACCGATACACACACAACCGTTACACACACAACCGTTACAAATACCACCATTACATACACAACCGTTACACACAATACCGTTACACACACCACCATTACAAACAGTACCATACACACACCACTATTACATACAGTACCATACACACTCCACCGTTACACATAATACCATAAACACACCACCATTACACGCAGTATCATACACACACCACCATTACGCACAGTATCATACACCACCATTACACACAGCATACACACACCACCGTTACACACACCACCATTACATACATTACCATACACACACCACCATTTCATACAGTACCATACACACAGTCCCATACACACACCACCATTACATACAATACCATGCATCCACACACCACCATTACATACAATACCATGCATACACACACCACCATTACATACAGTATCATACACACCATCACTGCACACAGTACCATACAGAACAGTACACACACACCCTTTACACACAGTGCCATACACACACACCACCATTACACACAGTCCCATACACATACCACCTTTACATACAGTACCATACACACACCACTATTACATACAGTACCATACACTCACCACCATTACACACAGTACCTTTACACACAGTACCATACACACCACCGTTACATACAGTACCATACACACACCACCGTTACACATAATACCATATACACACCACCATTACACGCAGTACCATACACACACCACTTACACACAGTACCATACACACACACCACCGTTACACATAATACCATATACACACCACCATTACACACATTATCATACACACACCACCATTACATAGAGCACCATACACACACCACCGTTACATACACCACCGTTACACATAATAACATATACACACCACCATTACACACAGTATCATACACACACCACCATTACATAGAGTACCATACACACACCACCGTTACATACACCACCGTTACACATAATACCATATACACACCACCATTACACACAGTATCATACACACACCACCGTTACACACAGTACCATACACACACCACCGTTACATACAGTATCATACACACCATCATTACACACAGAACCGTACACACACCCCCTTTACACACAGTACCATACACACATCACCATAACAAATAGTATTATACACACACCCAGTACACACAAACATACACACACCACCATTACATACAATACCATACACACACCACCATTACACACAGTATCATACACAAACCACCATTACACACAGTATCATACACACCACCATTACACACAGTATCATACACCACCATTACACACAGTACCATACATACACCACTGTTACACACACCACTGTTACACATAGTACCATATAAACACCACCATTACACACAGTATCATACACAAACCACCATTACACACAGTATCATACACACACCACCATTACACACAGTATCATACACCACCATTACACACAGTACCATACACACACCACCGTTACACACAGTACCATACACACACAACCATTACATACAGTACCATACACACACCACGTTACATACAGTACCATACACACACCACCATTACATGCAGTATCATACACACAGTACCATACACACACCATACACACACTACCATTAAACACAGTACCATATACACACCACCATTACACACAGTACCATACACACACCCCCGTTACACACAGTACCATACACACACAACCATTACATACAGTACCATACACACACCACCATTACATACAGTACCATACACACCCCACGTTACATACAGTACCATACACACACCACCATTACATACAGTACCATACACACACCACGTTACATACAGTACCATACACACACCACCATTACATACAATACCATGCATACACACACCACCATTACACACACCACCATTACACACAGTACCATACACACACCCCCATTACATACAGTACCATACACACACCACGTTACAAGTACCATACACACACCACCATTACACGCAGTATCATACACACACCACCATTTCACACACCACCATTACACACACTACTGTTACATACAGTACCATACACACACGTACCATACACATACCACCGTTACATACAGTACCATACACACACCCCCATTACACACACCACCATTACACACAGCACCATACACACACCATCATTACACACAGTACCATACACACTCCACCAGTACATACAGTACCATACACACACCACCGTTACATACACCACCGTTACACATAATAACATATACACACCACCATTACACACAGTATCATACACAAACCACCATTACACACAGTATCATACACAAACCACCATTACACACAGTATCATACACAAACCACCATTACACACAGTATCATACACAAACCACCATTACACACAGTATCATACACACACCACCATTACACACAGTCCCATACACACACCACCGTTACATACAGTCCCATACACACACCACCATTACACACAGTCCCATACACACACCACCGTTACATACAGTTCCATACACACACCACCATTACACACACAACCATTACACACAACACCGTTACACATGATACCATACACACACCACCATTACACACACCACCATTACACACACCACCATTACACACAACACCGTTACACATAATACCATACACACACCACCATTACACACAGTACCATACACACACAACCGTTACACACAGTACCATAAACACACAACTGTTACACACACCACCATTACATATAGTACCATCCTTACACGACCGTTACACACACCACCGTTACACACAGGACCATACACACACAACCGTTACACACAGCACCATACACACACAACTGTTACACCCACCCCCATTACAACACACCACCGTTACACACAGTACCATCCACACACCACCGTTACACACAGTCCCATACACACACCACCGTTACACACGGTACCATACACACACAACCGTTACACACAGTACCATACACACACAACTGTTACACACACCACCATTACATACACAACCGTTACACACACCACCGTTACAAATACCACCATTACATACACAACCGTTACACACACCACCGTTACACACACCACCATTACATATAGTACCATACTTACACGACCGTTACACACACCACCGTTACACACACCACCATTACATACACAACCGTTACACACAATACCGTTACACACACCACCATTACATACACAACCGTTACACACACGACCGTTACACACAATTCCACCATTACACACATTACCATACACACACAATATCATATACTACACACAGTATACCACCATATATTTAACACCACACCACCATCACAGATAATTGTCTGTCACGTACTGTTTGCCAGCAGTCCTGTACACACTAATGAACTACTTACTGTAATGTTAATTCACTAAGTAATGTAATAATGACACTCACACTTTTTGAATAGCATTGCTAATGATGTTAACAACGGTTTGTCGGGAATTAATTGGATTTTCCAATGAACCCAAATTGACACCGGAAAGCTGTGCAGGTTTGCACCAGTGCTTGACACAGATATATAATTTATGACATACTAGTTATGTAGGTATATTGAGCTCATTATGTCTATATCAGGATTGGGCCCATACTGACAGCCTGGTTAGATTTACGAACTTCGGATTGTTTTTCATGACGACTTTAAATCAGATATATTAACACAGTACAGTATACAGTTGTTAATACTTTAGTGAGAGACTCATCCATAGTACTTGTATTAAGAATGATGAGAGTCAGGGAAATTACGTTAAGATCTACAGAGAAAATAGATGCTAGTATCTGTTTTTTAGGTAACCACACCTTGGTTGTACATATGGGACCCATTCAACTCTGCCCAACCTGGTTACAAAGTTGCATACAGTAGATGTTATATAAGGGTTTGGTAGAGCAAGTAAAAATGTATTTAGTTCAGTACTTTGTCAATACCTACCCTTCTGATACAGAAGTAATTACAGATACAGTGTTTTATTTGCAATTGATATATTAAAGCTTGTATGTGGTATTTTCAACCGTTACACAATCGTCTTTTGTAAATATTGTATTACTCTCTTATCTAGGTATCTTGTTTACACTGTAATGGTGATGTATATATATATATATAAATAATAAAACAAAACACTGAAGACGAAATTCTGCTAGTACTTTCACCCATCTAGCTAGGGCTCTTCAGGTGAGTTGAATATATTTATGCCGTCATACAGGAGGAGGCACGGTAGTCTAGTGGTAGGACGCCGGGCTCGTGACCGAAGGGTTGCGGGTTCACGGCACGGCACTGCGTTGTATCTTTGAGCAAGATACTTTACTCCGTTTGTTCCAGTCTACTCAGCTGTAAATGAGTACGTGGTTGGGCAGTGCTAGAATTGTTGAATGCTAGCTATTAATTAACGCCGAAATGGCAGCTCCGGCTGAACATGTATGCTCCCCAGGGAGTTGAGAAAGTAACCACGGATAATAACTTGTGAACCGCTTTGAGACAACCTACGGACTAAGGTTGTGATAAAGCGGTATATAAGAACCTTGAATTGTTATTATTATAAAGAGAGTACAAATACTTAAGACATCAAAAATAGTGATGTCATAAACATAATACACATAATGCGGACATCAAGAAATTGCAACATCTTAAAATTATTACAATGAATTTACTTTCGTTAAATGCGTCAATGAAACATACAGACACAGAAACGGAGAATATTATAAATGCTCAAATGAAAACATCGAACAAGAGTAAACGTTTAAATTCGTCTGATAGTAAACATCAATCTCAAAGCACAATACCTAGTTCATCCGGACATATCAAATGTACGGAATATGTAAATTTAATTTGTAAGAGATACTCGATGCCCAGTTTTAGAATTTTTAATTCATTCTGTACGCAAAGTTCAATTTGTTAATATTTGGATGAAGTGGTAATCTAAACCTTATTTGACCGCAAATAATAATTTGCTCTTTTGTCTTCTCAACATTGAATGGATATGATTAACGATTGTCACTGAGTATTTTTCCTATATTCTCCAAACCAGCATTAAATGTTTCTTTGTGTTTCTATCATGTGAAGAACAGTTACGTTAAATCTTCATACTAATGATGACAAACATTTCAGAATAAAGACATCTTTCAGTAGAACCAGATCATTAAGGAAAGCACATCATCATCATGGCCACATTATATAAATTTAAATTCAGAAATTGTATGCTTTTCATAGTGAGAGTAAACAAATAAATATGTCTCAAAGGATTACAGGTAAGGTTTGCATTAGGACTGCCTTACCTAGTTATCTCGACCAGTGGAATAGTTCAACAATACACTATATACCTGTGTAATAGTCAGGGAGAGGAGGTTTTATGATGCCATGTTTTGAGTATGAGAATCACCTCAATCATGTGGAATAGTCAAGATAATGGATAGTTGTCGGCCCTCACAGGCCTCAAACTGTCCATTATCTAGCCTATTCCACAGTTTTCGGTGTTTCTCCTATACATATCAATCCACCTAGGGTAGTTATGGAAGGTCTCCACATACGGGTTGAATTGTCCAGCAATAGTTTTTCGGGTCATACCTGAATATACATAGATAGTAGATTTTTATTTAAAGATTTTATCTAAATTGACTGTAAGGATCATTCAGTGCCAGTAAACAAACTCCAAAACATTTTTTCATTAGAAAATAATAACATTGAGAATTCTAATATACCTTTGATGAAATGAGAAAGTGTCTTTATTTACAGTTGACAGATTTAGTTGCCATGGAGAATGGTGGATTGTGTATTGGTTACAGTGATAGTCACTTTGGCCATGCTCGACATTTGATCCAACCAGGACGTGCAGAAAACATGGCAGATGGCTGGGAAACAAAACGACATGTATGTACTTGGTCTACATATTGTCTTATGTGTTCTGTGTACATGTATAGTGGTACATTGTGTTTGTATATATTAATATGCTCCCCTTTTTGTAGAGCTTGGTGCTATTTCTTTAAATGTCACAATTTTGGTTTCCAATTTCTACATATCAGGGCTCATTGCTGTACCTTTAACAGCATTGTTGGTCGATGCTGCATCAATTCTATCATCACTATTTAGGACTTCTCTAGCACCATAGGTCACTACTGATCCTAACATCAGGGATCTGTGCTGCTTCCAACTCCAGGGGTCGATGCTGTTCCACACATCAGGGGTTGATGTTTGGTGTTGCTTCCATTATTTGGGGTCAGTGTTGCTCTAAGTAATTGGTGTTACTTCTAACATCAGGGATTTGTGCTGTTTCTAACATCAGTGGTTGGTGCTAACTTCCTAACATCAGAGGTTATTACTTTCTTCTAACACCAGGGGTCTGTTCTATTTTTAATATCCGGGGTTGGTGCTGCTCCTACAACAATTAATATACATTTTTTTGAGAGGGAGACGAAATTAGGGAGGGGGATTATTTGCTGTCAAATACAGTAATATCAGAAATTGGTGCTGCTATCTACTAACACCAGTGGTCACTGTTGCTTCCAACATCAGGTGTTGGTGCCTGTAACATCAGGTGTTGCTTATATCAGGGGTTGATGCTGCTAAGATTAGGGAGGGGTTGGTACGTGTCTCTAATATCAGGGGTTGGTGTCTCTAACATCAGGGGTTGGTGCCTGTAACATCAGGGGTTGGTTCCTTTAACAGCAGGGATTGGTGCCTGTAATATCAGGGGTTGGTTCCTTTAACATCAGAGGTTGGTGACTTTAATATCAGGAATTGATGTCTCAAACATCAGAGGTTGGTGTCTCTAACATCAGAGGTTGGTGCTGCTAACATCAGGGGTTGGTGTCTCTAACATCAGGGGTTGGTGCCTGTAACATCAGGGGTTGGTGCTGCTAACATCAGGGGTTTGTGCCTGTAACATCAGGGATTGCTTATATCAGGGGTTGACGCTGCTAAGATTAGGGGTTGGTGCGTGTCTCTAATATCAGGGGTTGGTGTCTCTAACATCAGGTGTTGGTGCCTGTAACATCAGGTGTTGCTTATATCAGGGGTTGATGCTGCTAAGATTAGGGAGGGGTTGGTACGTGTCTCTAATATCAGGGGTTGGTGTCTCTAACATCAGGGGTTGGTGTCTCTAACATCAGAGGTTGGTGTCTCTAACATCAGAGGTTGGTGTCACTAACATCAGGGGTTGGTGTCTCTAACATCAGGGGTTGGTGTCTGTAATATCAGGGGTTGGTGCCTGTAACATCAGGGGTTGGTGTCTCTAACATCAGGGGTTGGTGTCTCTAACATCAGGGGTTGGTGTCTGTAATATCAGGGGTTGGTGCCTGTAACATCAGGGGTTGGTGCCTGTAACATCAGGCGTTGCTTATATCATGGGTTGATGCTGCTAAGATTAGGGGTTGGTGCGTGTCTCTAATATCAGGGGTTGGTGTCTCTAACATCAGGGGTTGGTGCCTGTAACATCAGGGGTTAGTACATGTCTTTAATATCAGGGGTTGGTGTCTGTAACAGCAGGGATTGGTGCCTGTAACATCAGGGGTTGGTTCCTTTAACATCAGAGGTTGGTGCCTTTAATATCAGGAATTGATGTCTCTAACATCAGAGGTTGGTGTCTTTAACATCAGAGGTTGGTGCTGCTAACATCAGGGGTTGGTTCCTTTAACATCAGGGGTTGGTGTGACTTACATCAGGGGTTGATGTCTCTAACATTAGGGGTTGGTGTGACTTACATAAGGGGTTGATGCCTCTAATATCAGGGGTTGGTGCCCTTAACATCAGGGGTTGGTGCCTTTAACATCAGGGGTTGGTGCTGCTAACATCAGGGGTTGGTGTGACTTACATCAGGGGTTGATGCCTCTAACATCAGGGGTTGGTGCCCTTAACATCAGGGGTTGGTGCCTTTAACATCAGGGGTTGGTGCTGCTAACATCAGGGGTTGGTGCCGCTAACATCAGGGGTTGGTGCCTCTAACATCAGGGGTTGGTGAATGTAACATCAGGGGTTGGTGCTGCTAACATCAGGGGTTGGTGCTGCTAACATCAGGGGTTGGTTCCTTTAACATCAGGGGTTGGTGTGACTTACATCAGGGGTTGATGTCTCTAACATCAGGGGTTGGTGTGACTTACATCAGGGGTTGATGCCTCTAACATCAGGGGTTGGTAACATCAGGGGTTGGTGCCGGTGCCTTTAACATCAGGGGTTGGTGCTGCTAACATCAGGGGTTGGTTCCTTTAACATCAGGGGTTGGTGCCTCTAACATCAGGGGCTGGTGCCTGTAACATCAGGGGTTGGTGCTGCTAACATCAGGGGTTGGTGCCTCTAACATCAGGGGCTGGTGACTGTAACATCAGGGGTTGGTGCTGCTAACATCAGGGGTTGGTGCTGCTAACATCCGGGGTTGGTGCCTCTAACATCAGTGGTTGGTGCCTGTAACATCAGGGGCTGGTGCTGCTAACATCAGGGGTTGGTGTCTGTAACATTAGAGGTTGGTGCGTCTTACATCAGGGGTTGGTGCCTGTAACATCTGGGGTTGGTGTCTCTAACATCAGGGGTTGGTGTCTGTAACATTAGAGGTTGGTGCGTCTTCCATCAGGAGTCGGTGCCTGTAACATCAGGGGTTGGTGCCCTTAAGATCAGGGGTTGGTGCCTTTAACATCAGGGATTGGTACCAAAAACATCAGGGGTTGGATCAATAACATCAGGGGTTGGTGCAACTAACATCAGGGGTAACAGTGCCATTAACATTAGGGTTTGTTGCCTCTCTCTTCAGGGGTTGGTGCATGGACTAACATCAGGGGTTGGTGCATTACTTCAGGGGTTAGTGTCTCTTATACCAGGGGTTGGTGTCTAAAACATCAGTGGTTGTTGCCTGTATCCTCAAGGGTTGGTGTCACTAACATCAGGGGTTGGTGTCTATTATACCAGGGGTTGGTGTCTGAAGCATCAGTGGTTGTTGCCTGTATCCTCAAGGGTTGGTGTCACTAACATCAGGGGTTAGTGTCGATTATACCAGGGGTTTGTGTCTGAAACATCAGGGGTTGTTGCCTGTATCTTCAAGGGTTGGTGCCTCTAACATAAGGGGTTGGTGCCTTTAACATCAGGGGTTGCTGCCTTTAACATCAAGGGTTGGTGCCTCTAACATCAGGGATTGGTGCCACTAACATCAGGGTTGGTGTCTGTAACATCAGGAGTTGGTGCCTGTAACATCAGGGGTTGATGTCTCTCACATTAGGGGTTGGTGCGAATAACATCAGGGGTCGATCAGGGGTCGGTGCCTGTTCCATCAGGGGTTGGTGCCTGGAACATCAGGGGTTGGTTCTGCTAACATCAGGGGTTGGTGGTCGTAACATCAGGGGTTGGTGCAACATCAGGGGTTGGTGCTCCTAACATCAGGGGTTGGTGTGACTTACATCAGGGGTTGATGTCTCTCACATTAGGGGTTGGTGCGACCAACATCAGGGGTCGGTGCCTTGGTGTCTGTAACAGCAGGGATTGGTGGCTGTAACATCAGAGGTTGGTGCATTACCCCAGGGGTTCGTCTCTCTTATACAAGGGGTTGGTGTCTGAAACATCAGCTAACATTAGGGGTTGGTGTGTTTAACATTAGGGTTTGTAGCCTCTCTCTTCAGGGATTGATGTATGACCTAACATCAGGGGCTGGTGCGTTGGTGCATGGACTAACATCAGGGGTTAGTGTCGATTATACCAGGGGTTTGCGTCTGAAACATCAGGGGTTGGTGCCTTTAACATCAGGGATTAGTACCAAAAACATCAGGGGTTGGTGCCATTAACATCAGGGGTTGGTGCTTCTTATATCAGGGGTTGATACCTCTAATATCAGGGGTTGGTGTCTGTAACATCATGCTAAGATTAGGGGTTGGGGCGTGTCTCTAATATCAGGGGTTGGTGGCATTAACATCAGGGGTTGGTGCTTCTAACATCAGGGTTTGATGCCTCTAACATCATGGGTTGGTGCCTCTAACATAAGGGGTTGGTGCCTTTAACATTAAGGTTTGATGCCTTTACCAACAGGGGTTGGTGCCTGTAATATCATGGGTTGGTGACTGTAACATCTGAGGTTGGTGCCACTTACATCAGGAGTTGGGGCCTCTAGCATAAGGGGTTGGGGCCAATAACATCAGTGGTTAATGCCTCAAATATCAGGGATCGGTGCCTGTAACATCAGGGGTTGCTGCCTTTAACATCAAGGGATGGTGCCTCCAACATCAGGGATTGGTGCCACTAACATCCGGGTTGGTGTCTGTAACATCTGAGGTTGGTGCCACTTACATCAGGAGTTGGGGCCTCTAGCATAAGGGGTTGGTGCCAATAACATCAGTGGTTGATGCCACCAATATCAGGGGTTGGTGCCTGTAATATCAGGGGTTGATACCTCTAATATCGGGGGGTGGTGCCTGTAATATGAGGGGGCAATTCTTCTTATATCAGGTGGTGAAACCTCATATATCAGGGGTTGGTGCTTCTTATATCAGGGGTTGAGACCTCTAATATCAGGGGTTGGGGTCTCTAACATCAGAGGTTGGGGTCTCTAACATCAGAGGTTGGGGTCTCTAACATCAGAGGTTGGGGTCTCTAACATCAGAGGTTGGTGTCACTAACATCAGGGGCTAGTGTCGATTATACCAGGGGTTTGTGTCTGAAACATCAGGGGTTGGTGCCAGTAACAACAGGGGTTGGTGCCTGTTACATCAAGGGTTGGTACCTGTAACATCAGGAGTTGCTGCCTCTAGCATAAGGGGTTGGTGCCAATAACATCAGTGGTTGATGCCACCAATATCAGGGGTTGGTGCCTGTAATATCAGGGGTCAATTCTTCTTATATCAGGTGTTGAAACCTCATATATCAGGGGTTGGTGCTTCTTATATCAGGGGTTGATACCTCTAATATCAGGGGTTGGTGTCTCTAACATTAGGGGTTGGTGCGAATAACATCAGGGGTCGGTGCCTTTTACATCAGGGGTTGGTGCCTTTAACATCCGGGGGTGGTGCCTCTAACATCAGGAGTTGGTGCCTCTAGCATAAGGGGATGGTGCCAATAACATCAGTGGTTGATGCCACCAATATCAGGGGTTGGTGCCTGTAATACCAGGGGTTGGTGCCTGTAATATCAGGGGTTGGTCCCTGTAACATCAGGGGTTGGTGCCTTTAACATTAAGGTTTGATGCCTTTAAAATCAGGGGTTGATGTCTCTAACATTAGGGGTTGGTGCGAATAACATCAGGGGTCGGTGCCTGTTACATCAGGGGTTGGTGCCTGTAATATCAGGGGTTGGTGCCTGTAACATAATATCAGGGGTTGGTCCCTGTAACATCAGGGGTTGGTGCCTTTAACATTAAGGTTTGATGCCTTTAAAATAAGGGGTTGGTGCCTGTAACATCAAGGGTTGGTGCCTGTAACATTAGGGTTTGATGCCTTTAACAACAGGTGGTGGTGCCTGAAACATTAAGGTTTGATGCCTTTAACAACAGGTGTTGGTGCCTGTAACAACAGGTGTTGGTGCCTGTAACGTCTACCTCAGGGATTGGTAACAAAACATCAGGGGTTGGTGCCTGTAACATCAGAGGTTGGTGCCTGTAACAACAGGTGTTGGTCCTGTAACATTAGTGATTGGTGCCTGTAACGTCTATCTCAGGGATTGGTAACAAAAACATCAGGGGTTGGTGCCTGTAACATCAGAGGTTGGTGCATTACCTCAGGGGTTAGTGTCTCTTATACCAGGGGTTGGTGTCTGAAACATCAGTTGTTGTTGCCTGTATCCTCAAGGGTTGGTGTCACTAACATCAGGGGTTAGTGTCTATTATACCAGGGGTTGGTGTCCCTAATATCAGGGGTTGAAGCCTCTTACATCAGGGGTTGGTTCCTCTTACATCAGGGGTTGGTGCCTCTTACATCAGTGGTTGGTGCCTCTATGATCAAGGGTTGGGGCCTTTTACATCAGGGGTTGATACCTCTAATATCAGGGGTTGGTGCCTGTAATATCAGGGGTTGATACCTCTAATATCAGGGGTTGGTGCCTGTAATATCAGGGGTCAATTCTTCTTATATCAGGTGTTGAAACCTCATATATCAGGGGTTGGTGCTTCTTATATCAGGGGTTGATACCTCTAATATCAGGGGTTGGTGCCTGTAATATCAGGGGTTGGTGCCTGTAATATCAGGGGTTGGTGCCTGTTATATCAGGGGTTGGTGTTGTTGCAAACATCAGGGTTAAGTAACATGAACCAGGGGATACACATGATAAAAAATAAAATGATAAGTGAAAATCTTTTGGGATTATTTATCATATCTCATAAAAAATGCAACATTTTTGTTACAGCCTCAAAGACCAGCCATACTGACAGCAGATGCCCAAGGTATCCTACATGTTCCAGGTAAGACAACTCTGGTGTTACTTCAAATGTAACAATGCACGTATAATAGGAGCGAGAGTACTAACAAATGATGTAATAATTATCATCTGGAATATTTCACAATATAGATAGGAGGTACATCAGCAGACAATACTGACTGTACATTACACCTAACCGCTTTTCTAACTGTTGTTTGTATTTGCATGGGCACTGCAGGTGTGGCATTCAGTTTTCCTTCAGAAAGTTTCATTTGGGAAAGAATTAGTGGGCGAAAATTTTCACTTGGACTGATTTTGTCATTAATATGTCTATCTATCCATAATGTTATGCATATGTATCAGTGTTTTTATACATAATACCTGTAATATGGTGACTTCCACACATTAGAAGTGTGGTGGAGACACATCAGTTATCTGCCCATTGCTATACTCAGTTATACTTAGAAGCACAGCCATGTATGTTTTACAGGTATTTTCTAGTTGAAAATAATTTAATTGTCACTTGTCCTTTCAGGAGACGATTGGTGCATATTTCGCTTGGGGCATCCTGGAACTGTAACAAAGGTATTTATTATCTATTACATCAGGAGAAAATACAACTATGTACTGGCGATTTTTGTGGTAGTATTATTTCCACGCTTTTTGCAGAAAGATTCAACTGCAAAATCAACAATGCAATGAAACGTTCCAGCACCAGACATTATAATCTAGTTCAAGACATACCACTATAAGTACTTAAAAGATGTGATTATTATTGCTTGCCCAATAACACATTAAATCTAATTGGGAGAACTATACATTAACATATATATACAAAGTAGTCAGGTGGACATGTTCAGGTCACTTTACAACTTCAACCAATTAGACATGTCCTCAATATGACAAGGTCATTTTAAGTAACACGTAATGTAACTTGTCACGTATGATTTCATTCTATTGACCAGTCCATACCTGACTGACCTGCATATAGAGTTAACATATAATGGAGAAGTCACATGATAGCAAATAACAGACACATCAGACGAACCTATTTTTGACATATGCTTCACTGCGTGAATATTAATTTCCTGAAGAAAAAACATGAAAATATCGCTACACAATTGCAAATTCATAGGTGTAAACCTTATTAGTAATTAAAGTCAATATTATATTTAGAACAATATATATACCCAGGCTACGTTGCTAGTATTGAATAATGATAGAAAATTAATTTCTCTATTTTTTCAATCACACGTCGACAGATATTGTTACAAATTTACTGAATATGATATACTTTTACTTATTTTATTTTGAAAAACGGGATCGTATTGGTGTCTCAGAGAGAAAACATTTGAAATATTTAACTATCAGACATTATAATAGGTCATATGTTTATTGTTGCAATTTGAAATCACTTAACATTATCTTCTTTTAAAATCACAATCATATAAAACAAATTTTTCGCCAAGACCCACTTGGCTGTAATGTAGTAACATTCTATTGCCAGCTGATAGGCTTGCAAGCATTTTGATATGTTATGTTAAGCATAGATCATTTCAAATATTCAAATGATTTGTAATTGTCCATCTCAAAGTAATTTTATTTCTGTAGTAAATTTAGTTTAAATAGCTGACTGTTATCCTACTGACATATCTACATTTTAAGTTATTGAGGTGTTGATCCAATTTTATATTTATCGCATTTTTTATTCATTTCAGATTGAGATTGATACAAACCATTTCAAAGGAAATTTTCCAGATTCCTGTCGCATTGAAGGTATGGAATCTGTCATTAGCTATTAAACTTAAACCTCTAACCCCTTGACATCAAAATGGTACAGACCAAACAAATGAAAAGCCCTGCCTACTGTTGTGGAATAGGTATAAAATCCTCCATGCCCTGGGGTCATAGTGTAAATTATCTGAATAAAGAAATATCATCTAATATCATGATGCCTCATTAAAAAAAATATTTAAATATCTTTTAAACTATTTTTTTATTCCCTGCTTTTAACACTATCATATTGATTTTTAAAAGTGTCATAGGGGTGAACATCTGCCTGTGTTTGGTCAACTAAACGTTTGATACATCGCTGTACTCATAAATTCATAGAGGTCGCATGGTGTAAGCACTTTGATTTGTAAAGGGTAAATTTTATAATAATTTTATCGTTGACATATCTATTTAATTCGGGATGATATCACGCCTGCAGTCCAGCTGTCTACATCTATTATCCTGTTTGTTAAACTGTGAAAATAAAATGGATCTTTATTCAGAAACAAACCAACAGTGGTCTGTAATTTTATAAAAGAAGCAAAAATAAGGAAGAAATAAACCTTTGAAGGGGATAGGTTGATCACGGTTGATAATCCTGGTTTTGGGCAGAGAAGATGTTTGGTAATAGAATGGTTATCCATAACAGGGGACAGAATGGTAACTTAAAGGAGAAGAAATCTGAAGTGTAAGAAGTCATAGTTTAGAGTGATTTGCTTTGAGTATCTGAAGTTCTATGATCGCCCTTGATGGGAAGACAAAATCGCGGAATCTGTGTATATATATTTATTGTGTCTTATATTCGTTCAATTATCTGATTAACAATTAACAACAAGTCAACAACTTACATGAACATGTGACTCATGTATGAGTATCCAAACTGTTTTTCTAGACCAATGAAATTTGTTGTGCAAGTTGCATACATATTCAGCCATTTTAATGACTGATATTAGGTAATTTAAAAAGTTGGCCCTTTACAATCCGATGTTATGTCAGTATTCCATTACAGGCTGCTGGGTTGGAGTAGAGCATGAGGACGGGCTGATCAAGAGGTACGACACCCACACATGGAAGCCACTCCTTCCTGTCCAGAAACTTTCGGCCCATAAACAGTTTATCTATGACGATGATGAATTGTTTAGCTGTGGAGTTATCTCCCATGTACGTCTTTGCATTGCACCAGATGGCGGCATTAGTAGAATGCGTCTGTGGGGCTACATTACAGAAATTCCCATGTCTAAGTTGTAGAAGGTTGTAGGCTCTGTTTTTGTGACAATCAAGTGTTTTACTTTACCGGTTGTCTATCATGCTATAAGTTGTCTAGAGAAAGTTGTCTTTGAAATATGATAATAAATAATTTGATAATAATATGAAATAAAATTCAAAAACTAGACTGCAAGACACAGGTGAAAAAATCATGGAAAAGTCTCACTATTATAGGAAAAATCAGTGTTTTAAAATTGACTTTTGATCTCAAGCTGTTGACTATCAGTGTGATATAGTTGACTTTTAGTTTTAATAACTTGCCCTTATGTATCATAATTTTGCCAAAGAAGATTCTTTGCAAAACACAAGGAATACATTTCTATGAAAAAAATTATACGTTTATAGGACAATCAATGTTACAAAGTTGGCTTTTGAACTCCAGTAGTTGAACATCATTTTGATATAGCTGACTTTCAATTGTCAATCATTGACCTTCAATGCTTTGTTATCCATTGCAAAACACATATAAAAACATTTAAAAAAATATTGTACTCAATAGGACAATCAATGCTATAAAATGACATAACCTCAATCACCGTTATTTTGATAAAATCGACTTTCAATGTCAAATTCGTCACCTTTAGTGTCATGGTTTAGAATAGACAAGCTAACTGTCTGTATCACAAGTTGTTAATGTTATATCATTGGCCTTCTGTGTTACCTATTTGACTCTCAATGAAGGTTCCCTCTACATACAAGAATTGGAAATTTGTATAAAATGTTACGTAGTTTTGTAGGATTAATCACGGTGCTGGTGATATTACATTTAATGATATATTTACACTACCCCTGGTTTATGCAGATACTTCATTTAACAGATTACGGTTTTTCTCACATCTCTGAATGCTACATTGTTTTGATTGAACAAACTGCTATAAATGTATTTACACTATATCTGTTATACCAAAGAATATTGTACCTGGAACAATCTACAGTTATACACTTATAATTATCAGTTATAACCCTTTGATCAGTATTAAGACAATCTTCATATTACACAGATTTGACACTGGTTCATATCTGGTATATCTCATTATAAACTTGGAAGTTATAATTACCATCGTGTCCACTATACCAACATTCTAAGTTCTCTGACTCCATTGATCACAATGCAAATTTTCTAAGGACTGTGCCCCCAGTTTCCACAATGATTCTTTATTATGGTTTCTGCCTACAATGTCCACTGCAACTCCCTACAAAGAACTCTGCATAAAGTGTCCATAATACAATCATTCTAAGGACTGCATGTCTCCTGTGTTTGCTACACACACTTTCTGAGGATTCTGCTTCCATTGTCCACTGTACCCTCTGTCTGAGGACTCTGCTTCCATTGTCCACTTCACCGTCTGTCTGAGGACTCTGCTTCCATTGTCCACTGTACCGTCTGCCTGAGGACTCTGCTTCCATTGTCCACTGTACCCTCTGTCTGAGGACTCTGCTTCCATTGTCCACTTTACCCTCTGTCTGAGGTCTCTGCTTCCATTGTCCACTTGACCCTCTTACTAAAGACTTAACCTAAAATGTCCAAAGTGCTGTCATTCAAAGGACTTTGTCTACTGCATGGAATATAATCTTTCTAAGGACTCTGCTTCCATTGCCCACCATATTCTCTCTTTGTAAGGCCTGCAAATTCCACTATACTATCATGCTTAGGATTAGGTCTCAATAATGTAACTCCTGTTCTAATGCAATGCCTCCAGTGTTCACTTAACCCCATTTCAAAGGACTCTGCCTAAAGTAGGGGTGTTACAACAGACTAAAAGGTATCACGAATGATTTGTCAGAGGTACTGGAGTCAAAAGAATGAAAATCTTCCAAAAGATATATAAAAAATATAGCAAAATGAGAAAGATGCCTGTAAAACCTATTCTAACGTTCCTTGCCCACTTCTGATTAGCTGAGGGTTTCGGTATGTCTATTCCGTCTTTGTGTATTGCAGAGTTATCTTCTCTTTGGAGCAGGTATTGATTGTTACGTCATTGGTTTGTGCGAAAACATTGCGTCGTTTTTCTTAAAAATTGATGACGTTACTCTCACAAACAAGTGACGTAACAATCAATACCTGCTCCCAAAAGAAGATAACTCTGCAATACGCAAAGACGGAATACACATTGTATCAAACTTCTTGATTCTGTTAAGCAGATGATATAGAATGAGTTCAGATGGATCTTTAAGGAGGTTAAGTTTTTTTTCCAGTTTTGATGACGTAAGTATCTCCAGATAATGCTTGTCAGATGTAAGAGAAAAGTCAGAAATTGAGTTTTACAATTATACAACATTTTTATTACTTTTCTTAAGGATTGCATCTTGCTTTGGTCGATTTCATGGGGTGATGAATTTGAGTAGGTTTTGAAACAAATTTAATGAACTGCGAATGTTGAATTTGTTACTTTATTTTATTACTTGATGATAATGATGGACAATCAGTTTTTGAAAGTTTTTATTACTGGTTGTGAATCACTTGCTCATACAGAAAAAAACTGCATAACTAGAACCAGAACAACATGAATAGGCTGCCCGTAAACATAGAACAGCTAGAATCTATAAAGTTTTACCAAAACAGGTTAATTATTGATGAATTCGTTTAAGCAGCATTTTACTTAATAAGCAAATATAATTATAACATACGGTACATATAATGTCAGGTGGATGAGAAAACAAGCTTAGTGTAAGTTCAGCTCCTATCCCACATATAATAGGACATGTTTTCTGCCTTTTAGTACATTACAAAAAATTGATTTCCAACATTGTTATATAAGAAAAATCACTATTGTGATCATGAAAACATTCAATAGCAGTGAAGTGCACGTGGTTCTGGCCATGCGACAAGAACTCATTGTATACAATGTATTGTACAATGTATCAAGATTGTACTGGAAATAATATGATTAATTCGAATCCAAAGCAGTTCATGTACAAAAATCGGTTTTAATTGTGTAGGTTTAGTGGGATGTTTTGAGAGGTATGAAAGACATTAATACTTGTTGGTAGATTCATTGAATGCATTTAAAATCCTCACTGCATAATACTCTAGTATGATATTACACTAGTGTCATAATTATTACACCAGTATCATAATACTATAGTTTTATATTACACTGGTATTATATTACACTGGTATTATATTACACTAGTGTCATAATTGTTACACCAGTATCATAATACACTAGCAATATATTACACTGGTATTAGATTACACTGGTATTATATTACACTTGTTGCATTATAACTATTTACGTTTTATCACATAATATGACTTTATATATATGTATGTTATATGGCTACAAAAATACGTTTATATATCCAGATATTATGTATGTGATACACTTATTCTAAGAGGTAATCATTTGGTGAGATTTGGTTAAAAATGTTGTATTTCAAGTCATTCTTGACTTAAGATGTTACAGCTATTGGTAGGTCAGTATATTGTATTGGCGTGTGGAGCATATTTAAAGTGTCATGCCAAATCCGGAGCCTAGGACAAGTCCGTGAAATAAAAATTAAAAAGTAGGTTGTGCTAATATAATATGTGGAACCAAAATAGCCATGTTAAGTCTTTACAAAGGGATGTTGTTAAATATGGATGTATGATATTAAAACCGTCATTGTCTAATTGGACTATATTATATCGAAACAACGGTCTAATTGGTCTATGTATATTTTAGAGATTTCCTCCTGTAATACTGACAGTAATTATCTATATACATTTTATTCTGAATATTTTTCATCGATTATTCATGGCTGCACAGCAGCTGTAACCTGTATTCTCCACAGTTAATTAATTGTCTGTTGGATCAAATAGCATGCTTATGAATATTCATAAGGAAATAATGAGGGATGATACCTAAGTTTAATGGAACATCTGATATAACATCAATAATATAAAGCGTATTTAGAGACATTATAATTATATAGATTTTTATGAGCTTGTTCAGTGAGGGGTGTTAGATCAGGTGTATCAAGTGTTTAACAGTTTACATGTTCATTAGATAACGGGCATGTAATGTTTAAACTGGAAATAGATTGCAATATTGATTTTTTTAGTGTATGAGGTGTTATGTCCTCGAAACATCTATGGTCATATGAATCGAAGATACTGTTATATGACTGAACCGTCCCGTTTAAAACAATATGCAGATGTCATTTTATTTTTACTTAATTCGGCTTTTGAAATTCGGTCATTGTTCTGAATTGTCTATCATTCCAAGTTAACTGATATGAAATCAGATGTAATATATATAATAATAATTGAACCCATTATAATGTGTAACTCTGTCTGTTTAGCGGGTATTCCGTGGATGCTAGACCTGTATGAGACTATTAGACACAGGTATATGTTACAGTGACGTGTATTATTCATGTGATATGGTTTTCCCGACATGGACATTAATAGTTCAGTGAACCTCATACAGTCTAACGTTTACGCAGTGCAGTTCTCTAATTGGCTGCGGTGGGGTTATACATTGTCTTTGGCAGACTCGGGGAGTATTCCTGATGTTAAAACAGGATATTATCCCCGCTTGAGACGTAACCTCCTCTGTAACGTTTGTCGATAGACACATCTGTGATCTCTTCAACGTTAATCTGATAGATTATATTATAGGACACATTTAATCATTTAATAAGCATTATGCCTTTTAAGTGTCTTGTATGCATTCTTAATACATCAAAGTATATATATCTGTATATTTATGGGGCAAAAGAAGTAATTCCAACAGTGTGGACAAGTTTAGGTTGTCAAATTTTCGGAGCGATCCGCTCCTTCATCAAGACACAGTGAAACAGAACAGTTACAGTATATTTATATACAATTGAAGGTTAGGTGTAAGCTATTTTGCCATCTTTTGAGTTCTGCCCTTTTTTGCATAATACTATGATCATAATTTTGTACAAAGATTAGCTGTTTAAGTTATGATACTGCAATTTAAAATTGCTTCCGTTGGACTACTCAACAGTACACCCGTGCGATATTTCATATCAAATACACGTGATGAAGTATTACATTATATGACCTTAGTTTTGTGAGGATGTTTTTTCGTCAGTACTAACTACAATAGACGCTTTACAATATGTAATACTTTTCCAGTAGACGAGTTTGTTGTGGGTCGAATAGTTGTTTAGAACATTTTATTTCTCGCCATTTGACAAACATTCCCTGAAATTTATAAGATAGTGTTTTGTTTTCAATTTTGGAATATTTAGGAACCTGTGTAATATGCATTGTTAGATTACCTGGTATATTTGGTTTATTTTATCTTATATAGCTGTATATAACGGTACTTGTTTTATCAACAAATCTAGCCTTCCACCATATCTATGTCTGCATTCTATCTAAAGTGAACACAGCCTTTTGGCAGTTTCTTATTTGTATTTCAAATGGCATGGTAATAAGCGTATTTCTCGTAAAGGTTTTACAACAATTTCGCGTGTTACCTGTAATAGAAATGTTTACAATTGAAAAAATGCTTCAAAACGTAAAGAAATATTATACTCAGCATAATAAAAAATATGTTATAAGCTGATAAAATATATACTACAATGAGATTTTTGGCGGAAGAGTATTTACATACACAGGCGTAGAGCGTAAGTGGTGTGCACGTCTGTACACAAAGCCAATGCTCTCTCTTTAACAACAGATATATACAAGCATGGTATTGCTTTCACAGTATACCCACAATTTTTCTATATTTGCCAATTATAATTTGTTATGAACTATTCCTATCCCAGATTAATGTTCAATTTACTTCTCGAAAACCCAAACTACAATGATGTACAAAACGACGCCCAGAACGGACAAATGACATCGTTTCCATACTGTCATAGTCGCTGAATAAGTAGGCCATTCTATGTTTCCATACTGTCATGGTCGCTGAATTAGTAGGTCATTCTATGTTTCCATTCTGTCATAGTCGCTGAATAAGTAGGTCATTCTATGTTTCCATACTGTCATAGTCGCTGAATAAGTAGGCCATTCTATGTTTCCATACTGTCATAGTCTCTGAATAAGTAGGCCATTCTGTTTCCTTGTTTGTTGGGTGTAATAATAGAGAAATGTCGGCTAAGGAATTCCAGTTATGGTACAGAATCTATATGGACTCAAAAATACATTATTCATCAGCATAGTAAGGTTAAAGTCATTAGTAATTAATGTATATATTTAAAGCAATGTTTATTTACTATACATTTTCTTTTTTATTCCTTTCCTTTTATTTTGTAGTTATTTACTTTTGTGGTGTTTTTGATTGTTTGGTTGTTAATGTTAATGTGAACATTGCCTTTTTACTTTAAATCGTGTGTACACAGATATATGGTAATATGTAAAACTAACGTACTTTAGCATATATTCTATTTCTGTTTACATTTTTTGTCCCCACTTTTTTTTACGCTTCGCATATAGATCATGCAATTCCAGAACAAATTCCTGTACCCCAGATCTATGGAGGCAATATAAATCTATAGTCAAGACACTATGGTGATATGCTCAATGTTAATGTTATTGAAGTTCTTATTATGTTTTTACCTCCACTTCCATTTAAGTCAATGTCATTACCGTAATCTGTAATTATTTGTGTATAAGTATATTTATGTTATGAATGTTAATATGCCGGAAACGGTAGAAGTAACGCATCGTTCATCATGCCTGTTCGTACAATGTACCAATCAAGAAGTGTGTCCAATTGTTAAAGAAACATATCTCGTGATCCTCTTAACAATTCTTTGAAATGCAATCTGTTAACATTTCAATAAACGCATCGTTCCCGTAAAGAAAAAATGGCACAAATTTGGGATTTGTTTGATTTTAATATTTCGTTTTAGTGTAACTAGCCATTGTTTCGCCATATTAAGTAGGAGTTTAATGACATTATTGTTCATCATGGATCCAAATGGTCTCAAAATATGTCCCATCCTAAGGATGTTATTTTACAGGCTTTTAATGAGTGTATATCCCAGTTCTGT